CAATTTAGAATGTTTTTACAAAAAATAAGAAACTATAGGCGAGTTCAAGCTGGCAAAGCGGCTAGGTCTGCTTGCCGAGCGATTGAACATGATTGGTTGGCTCCATAGATAAGAACTAATCATGTTCAGTCACTCGGTGAGCAGCTGCTTTACAAACTTGAACGCGCTCCGAAAACAATGAGCATTTAGAAAATTAGGATCCTCAAAAAATCTGAGCCCCTCAAAAAATCCGGGCCTGGGGGAAATCACCCCATCACCCCCCCCCCTCTCGTCAGGCCTGCATGTGAGACATCATGTGTTGAAATTAGTGAAGTCACATGAAACAAATCCTGTAAACAGCACGTTAACCGCGCATTGTCAGCACGACGTTAAATTTATACCTGATACACAGTTATGTTGTAGCAGCATGTTGACTGTGCAATGAATAATACAAATTTTGTCTTTTTGGAACAGTACGCTAAACACACAATCCTGTTACATGTAAAATTTTTATTAGTTTTCATTCTTGGAACCCAATTATGGGAATTCATCTTATCATTATTGGCTGCGTTCAACAGACTCAAGTGTTGAGTCTGCTGAACGCAAATATTTTATCAAAAAAAGGAAAAGGTGATAAAATTTTTGACTGAGAAGTCTCATCATACTGCACCTTTTATCCTACTCGATGTGGTTTTTTAAATACGAGAAAAAAATTGAACTTCGCTATGTCCCTGCTTGAAAATTGGACATATAGAATATTTTTCTGCACGAAACTAGTCACGCGTAAAAACGCCGTGCAATTTCAAAGTTATAGCGTGCAGTTTTGTTTTAATGCTGACAATATGCATAACAACACAATGCGTAACAGCACAGTGCGTTTTTAAAGTTACGGTACGCAATTTTGGTTTAATGCTAGCACTGTCAAATAATTTGAAGCAGTAACTAAAATCTGAGAACATTGACTTGCACAATACCAGTACGATATCTAAACTACTGGAAATCACAGCCTGTTCAGCTGTGACTTTTGGCTATCTGGGTAATTATAAGAAGACAACATATATACTTGAATATACAGCACTAATAAACAGGCATTTACTAAAAACGAATTTCCGTTTTTAACAAAAATCTGTCGAATTTACATTTTACGGTCCAAATAATTCGAGCCAAACTTTCATTGCATCATAATTAGCGTCAAGACAACAATGAAACAATTGCATCACGGCGATCGACAGAGAAAGGTTCCAAGTTTTTTACCCGCTCACTTCAACTCTGCAATATTAATCATACAAAAATAGCGGCAGACTAAAATTTTCATCCGAGTCCAAATAATCCACTCATGTAGTTGAGGATTATAAATAACATTTCTAAACATGTCTAAAATAACATTTCTTTCAGAAATAAGATTCGTAACAAGAGTTGTCTAAAATTGAGAAAGACAGTTTTCCTTGATTTTTCTTTCAGTCATTCAATCATAAGAACAAGGCTCTTAGTTCGATCAATATTAGCTTAAATTTCCAGCAGTAAGTTCAAGTGACGATAAATCAACAGTCATAATAAAAATATAAATATCTAATTTATGTTGAAAGTACTTTCTGCTTCGAATAAAAGAGTTGAATTCTGATATATAAAACAGCAGGGTGCTTTCTCGCAGGAATGAATCATTACATTGTTTGCTAATGTTAAACAAAAAAGACATGATCACTGTATTATACTATGTCACTTGCTGGAAAGCGCCAATAATTATGACTTACATAGAGATTAAAAAATTTCATTACCTTGCAGTGTTGTGCTCACACATATCTTTGTGGTATTTAGTATGTTTCCTGCTAATGGCAAATACAAGATTTCAATTCATTATTAAATAAATTAATATTAAGCAATATTACCTTGGCTATGTCTGTGTTCACAAAATTTCGTAGTTAGATTGCTACCTGAAATAAATAAAATCAGATTATATTGTAAAAATTGAGAGAGATAATCTGATTATATATATAAATAAAATACAAAATTTAGAAAAATATTTATTATAACAATAACCACTCTCTTCAAAATTAAATTAGAGGTTAGATAACTAAAAATATTAATTATATCGTATCGCGCAATGATCGTACTTTGGATAGTATTTGCTATGCAAGTTCTTGCTATATTCATTACACTTTTGGCTAGGAAATTCATGACTAATGTAATTAATAGACTTTTCCTAGAGTAACTTAACCTCACCGAATGTTGTTTAATCTATTTTGAACATATGCTCGAACATTACCGCCACCTAGTGACGTGATGGCAACTAACGTACATAAAGTAGAAAGTTTATTTATCGACTTTCGAAAAACTAATCTAATTGTTATGTAATTTTATTATTCGTATAATTTCTTGTTTTTGGTATATCAAATTCAGTTTTATTTTTTTTTTAGAAAAATACATTTTGTCTATTTATTTTTGATATTACATGTTCAGATACAAAGATATATATGTAACGTACACGTTAGATGCTTCTTTCAAAAAACGCATATCTCAAGAAAATAGTAGAAACACATATTATTAAAATAGTATTAATATTTCATAAATAATATTTCACAAATATATAGAAACAATCTAAAAAAAGGGAAAAAAATGAAAATATAAAAATATTATATTTACTGATACAAGAATGTTGATTGTTCATGACGATGAACGAACTCATCTAACATGACAGTCACATAATAGAGTCTCTGAGAAACCAAAATTGATCATTCATATTTTAATAAATTTCTTAATTTTAATATTAGACTGATTAATTTACTAATTTCATTAATTTCTTCTGATGCTTTTTATTTTACAGATTGATCAATTTAATTTCCAAGAGATTACTAATTATAATTCATCCTCGCTGTAATGGATATATAAAAAAGGTACTGCGAATTATTAAAAAATATAAAATTTATTTGGAAGTCGCACGATATAAAGCTTGAGGGTGGTAAGGCCAATCAGGACAAAGTTGACAAGAGAAATTGAAGGATTATGGACGTTTCGCGACACCACGTGTGTCAGATAATTCATCAGCCGTCGCGTCTTCACCATCCGTGACCGTAACCGGCACCGTAACCGGCACCGTAACCGGCACCATAACCGACACCTAGACCGGCACCAAGACCGTGTCCCAATCCCGCGCTGTATCCGAGTCCGGCACCATATCCTAGTCCCGCACCGTGTCCAAGACCCCTCGCACCGTATCCCAATCCGGTGCCATATGAGGCTCCTGCGGCACCGTGTCCTAGTCCTCCTAGGTTCGCACCACCGTATCCTGGACCACCAGAATAACCAATACGATAAGCCAGCGGAGCGCTGTATCCATGAGACGCTATGGGCACGCTGTAGCTGTAGGCAGGTGCGGAAATGCCGTGACCCGAGGAGGCAATTCCCGGGGCAATACCACCGAGATAACTTTGTCCGTGACCTGAAATCGAAAGGGCGTGACCTTCTCAATCGAGATAAAATTAGGTGCAAATCGTCGGGTGTCAAGGATTTTTAACCGGAAATTACCTCCATAAGTCGATCCTGCAATCAGAGAGTTTCCTAATCCGTATCCTCCGTATCCTCCGTAACCCAACCCTAAGGCACCCCTCTTCTCTTGTTTTTTTTCTACCTGTGTTTCTTCGCCATAAATAGGCATTGCCAGGCTGAGAATGGCTAATACAAGCTATAACGAATTTATTCAATTAAGTATTGTAGGTAAAGTAGTTAAATACACATTGTGTAAAGTTAAGTATACATTATGTTTTATATTAGTTTATTTTCTCACGAAACGGTTAATAAGCGGACAATAAGTCCGCTTTTTTCCCGTAAAAAGTAACAATGGAATCGAATGTCGAATCAACATCGATTCCTTTGTCATTTCTCGCGGGGTTTATACCTAAATCAATATAAATTCTTTCTACTTAAAACGTAAACGGATATACATGTACATGTGTTTGATATTTATACAAAATGAGGAAGAAAATAATTCTTGTTGCACGTCTAGTATAACACAAAAAAAAAAACAAACCTAAACTCCTTTATAATATGGGCATAAAAAAAAGAATTTTTTAAATATCAAAACAACAAATTTTCACAAAAATACGTGACACATGTGCAGAGATAAAAAAATAAAAAATCATTCTAGAATATCTATAATAAACAATAAAAAATATTATCATATCAGTAAAATAAAATAAAATAAATATCACATATCGTGAAATAATTAAGAAACCGTATCAGAAATATCTTGTAATAAATTCCATTTACGGGGCGCTTAAAATCATTTCAATTAAAGAAAACAAGAAAGTTATAAAGTAATGTCATATTGACTGAATCGTGACAAAAAAATGATATAAATTTGGTCAATAATCGGTCAATATGACGTCAAATTGACATTATTTTGACTTTCTTATTCTCCTTAGGGTGATTTTCCCGCAAATATTCATAAATCACGAGATCTCCCTCGAGTGCAGTACCGTGACGATTCCAGTTACTCGGAGAAGAATTAGAATTAGAACTAGAACTCACTATAGCGTTCATGGTGGCGATAATGGTGTGGCGATGCAGAGATCACTACTGAAACTGATGCGGACCTTACGAGACACACCCCCTTTTATACCGGTGGAGTCTTTTCTCACAGCATTGCATCTCGCCGAGACGAATTACACGTTATCGCACGTCTATACGCGATACCTCGCTCACCCACACACATACGCACGTAAATAGAGATGTAGGAGCAGTTATAGCAGTGCAATAATACCGCCGGCAAGAAGGTAGAGGTACGCGTAGCTAATACGCCTTTCTAAAATGATTTTTCTAGCGAACTCGTCACGAAAATTCTTTGTTAGACTACGCGATCGACTTGCGTCGGTGGGAATTAAAAATCGATCTATCAATCTCCGAAGGAGACACCGTTATTCTCGATGAAACGTTTGGATTAACGATATAAGAACAATGTGGAATTATCAGATTTCTTGTAGAACTTCTTTCGTTGGATGAAACTAGAAGGGTTGAGAATTACAAATAAGATAGTATCGATGGGAAGATTTAATTATTGATAAGTCACTTCCATTTTCTTTTAATTTGTAGAACTGGATTCTTTCAGCAAAAACAAAATAGGAACTTTCGCGCAACAATTTTTTTACCACATGAAAGATATACAATACGTAATCTTGTCATTTTTAAAATTGAGATCTCGTAAATCCGTAGACTTTCAAAGTGATTATTTCACTTTGAAGGTAAAGCCAAGATACTTTATCTGGTCAAATCCTGTTATTTCATCTACATTATGGATAGGATTATAATTCGAAAGGATAATGGGTTACTCAACCTAGAATTAGTTAACTTGAACTTAAGCCAAACTCGATACAATTAATCCCCATGAATGTGAAAGATATCGCGTAACATATATCGCTGATATAACTATTGCTTTAGCGTATTTATATATTATATACGTAAATGTAATTTTTCGGTTTTAAACGTTTCAATATATGTAATAATATACGGCCCATTAGCATTAATTTTGATCCATTAATATGACACAGCGTGCTTTTTCTGCACATCTTAAATTTCATATACATGACGAAACTTTCACTGTCGCACGGCTCTGCGACGATGGTTTTCGGTTGCAGTATTACGTAAAAACATGAAGACATTTTTTCCGTCCAGTTCACCTCTTGCTCTGCAGTCCCTTTCTGTAGCAACCTATCATATGTCCCGTGATTAACGAAACAGTAAGTAGAGAAAGAGCACAAATGAGAAGTAAATAAATAAAGAAATCTAACATAAAATTTAGAATCGACCTTGTTTTTTCAGATTCTGAAAAAATATTTGTCGATAAAAATAATATGAATAATATATATATATATATATTTTAATATATATTATTTGCTTTTTTAATTCATGGTATAATTAAAATATAAGTATGACAAAAATTCCTTTTTACAACTAAATGGTGAAAAAAGAATTAATTGCTAAATAAACGGCGCCATATATCACTGTCCGCTGCAAGCGTTATCTTCCTGTTACTTCGACGCCACTCGGGATAATCGCCGTTTTACAAATGGTCTGCCATGAACTCAATTCGACAGCAGGCCGTTATTAAATTAACAGAAAAATCCTCGTTAATCATGGGAAAGAGGGCAGGAGGTACACCCTCGAGCCTTCGAAAGGGCCATGAGTCCGGTTTTACGTCAGTGCAACGATAGGCTCAGCGGTATCGGGGCACGTCAAACAATAAAGCACGTCATAGCATCGTTAATTTTCTGCGGGGGAAAGGGAGAAAGTTTTATCACATCAAAGGTCGCACGCGAACAATTGTTGCGTAAACCAAGCACAACATGAGGGGCAGGGGGTTGCACTGGCGTATTCTATTTGACCAATGCTGGCCAGACAAGAAGTCGCTACCGATCGCACTTGTACATACATGGTACCGAATGTAAGCGTTATATTTCTTTGTTTTCGCGTTGTACTACTCCGTTTTATTTTTTTTAGATTATATGCTTCTAGACTTACAATGTCTGATTAACCTTTGGGAAAATTTACTTTTAATGAAGTTAAAGTTTTTAAAAGTAATTAAGAGTTTAAAAAATATTGAGATAACTTAAAGTGTGTAAAAAGTTAAACTAAAATAACCCAAAATTTTTAAAGTTTTTCAAGAATGATTTTAATATAATCGGCACAACACGTTAGTTTCTTTTAGTTGTTCTTAAGTAAGTTTTAAAGTTAGTACTTTAAAGAAAAGTTTAAAATGTTCAAATTTATCTTTATTTCTTAGGTTTTCTCTGTAGTAAATTTTAAGTATTTTTTTTAAGTTTTCTGAAGTAAATTTTCCCAAAGGAATTAATTTCGTCATTTAAATAACAAAACATTATATTTTATAAATGTATTTCTTAAAACAAGTATCATAAGAATTTTTAAATGCTACATAAAGAGAATATTTTTACTACAAAAATTATGGATACTTTCGATCCTTATATGATGACGTGATAAATAAAAAAAAAATGATATTATATTTTCTGTAAAAATGCAAAATGTTTGTAACCTTTTTTATCTATGAATTTTGTGATCGATTTACAGAATTTTTTTACAGTTAATGATTTCTTGAAGATTGCATATATCACGAATTGCATGAAAAGGATATACAACAATTTTTCTTTAGAGATTACGAACGTCAGAACCGGATATCAATAAAGAACAGCATAAAACTTCTTTTAAAAATACACAACTCGAGGTAATAAAATAAAACGTACGATTAAACGGCTATTTCAAATTCAACTTTGCGGATTCTTGTTGTGAAATACGCTCGTAATTCTGATCGCGCGAATACCGATAATGCGAAAACATGTCGGCGATGCGATGGCTGATAGTATATCAATGCATCGTATTACTATCCGCAACGAAGTAATGTAAAATTATTGAATTGTCGGACATAAAAACAGCCTCAATGATCAGATTGTACAAAGCATGGAATTTTTCATTTAGCAAAATTGATCAAATGATTTGCTCATATAGTAACAAGCGTAATACTGACGCAATATTCTGGTAATTATCAATAACATATATTTGCAATGCATATACACATTGCAGATATATGTTTGCATACGTTATATACATTTGTATTGCAGCGCATTAATAATTATAATTACTGATTCTAAAATTATATGGGAAAATTATACTGTGATTAATTGCATTTAATTATTACTAAATTAATATTATAATTAAAATTATTATTAGCTATTAAACATATTTTTATAATTATAATTATATTATAATAATTGTTTGGGAATTATAATTATTAAATTGGGAACAAATTAAAATTCACACTTGGTTGTACCTAACACGCTGGTTGTACGTTTCATATTTAATACTAGTGCAAAACGTTAGGCAAGTATTGTATATTTACGAATATCTTATCTTGGAATCTCACGTTCATTATAATTTTAATATATAATTACGACTGATTACTAGACAGATATTATTAGTCAGTCTGAATTTATACCAAATGTTGATAACGAAATGCTGTAGAAAGGTTGTACACAATTTATTTGTAGATGGCGGTAAAATGCTTTTGATTTTGGATTGAGTTTATCGTGTATACATAACCTCTTCAACTGTTTTGAACAATTATGAAGTACTCTATCTATTTTATATGATTGAACAGTCAAATAAAAAGTAATTCTGCCGGTTTTTTGATAATTTTGTAGTTTGAGATATATCGTCTTTTATTTTTATAACTAGTTAAGTTTTTTTTATAAATAAATCGCTCGTTTCATGAAGTACACAATCAGCTAAGGATAAGAGGCTGTTTTTTCAGTAAGTATTATTTAAAAAATTTCTTATATTTGATTATAATCGAGACATATAACTGTATATTTATGTAAAATATTTTGATAAAAAATTGAATTTTTTTTACATTAATATCTTTATACGAAATTTAACATATTATATAACGTATACGTAATTTCTTATTCGTTAGACATCAGTGTCCTTTAATATTTAAAAAAAAAACATTAGATATAACCGTATTTTAAAGAAAAACAGAATATTATCGATTACTTACAATATATTTAATTATTTATTACCAGAGCTACTGAGAAGTTTCATGTGTAAAATAGGAAAGAAGGAGAGAGTACATAACTATATATTTTATTCCACAAAATATTTCATACAATTATGTTGGTTACTTCCCAATATATTTTACATATATCTTCCAATATACAAAATATGTACCAACCAGTCATTAAAAGGCATTTCTCAAAGATTAATAAAATTATAAAATTGAGGAAAGAATGCAAGTTGCTATTTGGTCCACTAGTTGAGACAAAACCCCAAAAGAAAAAAAGGCTAAAATTAGAAAAGAAAGGAAAGATACTCTGTGCAAAATCGAATATGGCTAATACAGAATTGTTTTGGCTTACGAAAAATACTCACAATAAATTCATGAAAATTATTACACAGTCACGAAAGGAACAATTAAATGATAAAGATCAGAGTTCTGTAGAAAAATTTAGCAAGATGGAAGTTGATAACTCAACTGACCAAACTACAGAAAGACTTTTACATTCTGAATCTAGTCAAGTTGCTAAAAAAACAGAACTTGAGTTTACTAATACAACATCTAATTTGTCAACAAAAAATAGTGATAATGAAGTTGAATTGTCTAATTCAAATGTATCTAATAATGAAAACACAGCCACAAAATGTGTATCTTTTAATTTTGAAAGATTGCCTAACATTATTATAAAGAATTTGCTATCTTTTTCAATCATGGGTAGCAAACAAGATTTTCCTACACAATCAACAGAAATATTATCTATATCTGGCAAAGGTGATCTGAAAACATTAAAATTTCCTAGCGTAACTAAGATTCTTACTCAAACCATGTCACCAGAGTCAAAGCTGGCTCTAGAGAAATGGAAAGAAAGAATGATAAAAAAGCTTGGGCAGGAAGGCTTTGAAATGCATCAGAAAGGTATTTGATATATAAGTTGTTTCATGAGAAAGAGAAACTTTAATAAATAAACCTCAATAAATAAATCTATTTGATCCTGATAGCATTGTTAGAGGATGGAACATCTTTGCATTCTTGCATAGCACAAAGTCTACTTGGAAAAGAGTATGAGATTCCTTCGAGAATCGAACCAGTTTTTAAGAGCGTCCAATGCGTTTTGGAAGATGTGCATCACGTAAAAGCGATCGAAACACATGTGGCTCACACGAAATTGCATTACAAAGGCGTAGTTGACTGTATAGCCTCTTATAGGTAAAACAGAAGCTTTGCTTTGCCATCACTAGGAAACTCTATTTCTAACCAAAGTAGACAAGAGGTCACTACCAGGTTTCTAATTTTTATTTTACAATTTTATATTTATTTTATAACTTTCACAGTAGAATGCTATGTTCATCGAAGTAATGGCCAATAAACTGATTTAACTTACTACTCTGTATTTTATAGTTTGAGTAAATGAAGTACGATAACTCTAGACTAACTGTGTATTTTTTCAACTTATTTAATTTTCAACTTTATTACTAAACATAAAGATTATATTTTTATGAAAGATTGAAATTGTCTTTCTTAAAAGACTAATGTAATTATCAGAAAGATAGAATTTTAAATCAAGATGCTTTCTCAAATACTTTTTATTTATTCAAAGAAAAATGCTGAGCAAGTGCTTGTACCTCTTGTACATAATAAATTTTTTCATAAATATCTACAATGTATTTTCCGATACTTATCGGATCGCCTTGGTACATTTTTAACTTGTTTTCTAGAGATATTTTGAATATACGGTATTTATAAGGTAATTTTTATAATAAAGATTATGGTATAACTTTAACGTAAAGTTTTTGTTTGAAATAATATCCTGAATACAATATTATTAAATTTTCTCAGATATAGTCTGTGTCTATAAATTATTTATTGTTCTTACATCCAAAAATTATTCAGGTTTCATTAATTGATCTAATTTCTCCGTTGATATATTCGCTGAAATAGGGTTTCCTTAAATTAATTTTACATATACTTTGTACAACATGTACACTCCAGGCCAAAAGTTTGGATACACTGCTCTGAGTAGCATTAAAATGTGCTTAAACGGAATTTTTCGCTTGTAGTATTTTCTTTTATACTTACATTCATTATCCCATTAGGTATTTAAAAAATGCACATATGCTTGGGTCTTCTACAACTTCTAATAAAATATTTTTCTATAACAATTTATCACGTTTTTGTTAAATGTTTCCAAACTTTTAACCTGGAGTGTACATACAAGATGATTTTAAATTATATCAACTTTTATTTCTTAAAATATTCTTTTATGATTATTTTCTTAAAGTATTCTTTGAATGATAAAATTTTAAATCATATTGTACACGTTCGAGATGGTCTTACATGTAGACACTAAACCCGCAGGAACGAAAATTATGTAATCGATTGGAAGAAATCAGACAGACAGAAAATGAACTTGAAGCAAACGTACGACGCTCCTATACAACTCGCCGCGTACATTGGAGCTATCAATGCTTCTAATCTGTATCCTTTTGTGGTAAATGTCTCACCAAAAATATCACATTTAAAAGAGATATATATAAAAGTTCATTTATTTCATTATAGAAATTAATTCGTTCTCTTACTATCATTTTATTTATCATAATCTGTTTGTTAAATGTCTCGCGTAATAAAAACAGCTGCTGTTAATAAACTTTCTAATTATATAATTGAAAAGACGACAACTACTTTTCTAAAATGACCGTATTCTTCAGATAAAACGGGGATTACTCGTGATTGCTTACACGTGCGGCACACCAGCAACGGTGTACGAAGTGTCCGACAACACGCTGCAACTATACTGGACAGCATGGTTGCGCCGCCTGCAAAAGTACCATGTCGAGACGACGAACAGTGATGACAACGAGAACATACGCCAATAAAGCATTAATGTACAGTGTCGCATATATTCATTAAAACTTCTTCACACAAAGCCAATTAAATCCTTATCCGTCAGCCACAGGTAACTCCCGACAGGAGTCGGCGGGAGAAGTTTTTAATTCCATCCTTTGCGCGTTAGAAGTTGCAATAATCTATAGTCTTCGGGGAGTAGTTGGGAAAGCCCTTTCTGAGTCCGTAGGAAACCAGAGGACGCAGGATACAGCAAGAGAGGGAAACCGCGCCGATACGCCGACTTATTAAGCCCTGCGGTGGGCTCGGCATTTATGATTTATTACAAACCTATGCGCATTTTCCGCAACTCTTGGCGTAACGGTTATTAAGAAAATACGCGACATATTTATAATTTGTGAAATACATTTACGCCGTTATTAAAAGCATTGCTACTTATGAAAGCTGTATTTTTCTGAAGTTAATAAATTCTCAGAACTGGCAAAGATTAATGTTCCCTGATTGAGTTTTCCGAGAAGACGATAATATTGTTTTTATAAGTTCGCAGATTCGAAAGTAAACATATTAATTTTGATGCTATTGTTATATCGCTCTTATCAAGTTAACGAAGCGTTCCATTTTTAACCTGAACTTTAATTGCATTAATTTTGATATTCAATATTGAGTTGTTTGTAGAAAATTTATTTCTCTTCTAAACAGACATTTGGTTTCACAATTCTGCTTTGTAGGTGAAGAATATTGTAATACTAAAAACATAATGGGCGTGCCAGAAAAACGCGGTCACTATCTCGGTCGTCGAGTTAACATACAGCAATTATAACTTTTGCTACAGAGGAGGCCTGAAGGGGGTGCTACGTTACGCGGGTTCCCTGTTACCGGGCCCTATAAACATTGCGACCAACCCTTCGTGCACCCTTGGGGGATCGTAAACTAATGGTGAAGCGGTGTAGCAGAATTATATCGTTCGTTGTTTCCGCATACCTGGATCACATGCAGACAGAGAATATATCGCATTAGGATATCAGATATTACGAACCGCATCCCTTACATCCAATAGTCTATACTATACACGGTAGTATCAATTCACAATAACATTATCAGATACATTATCGTCATCGCATACGGTGCATTATCTTAGATTTTCACATTTTCGTTTCATTATTTTTTTGTGTTATATTTCTTGTTTGCAAAATCACATAATGTGAGACATTCGCCACTTATTGTATTTATTTTTTATACTATAAATTTGAATTTTTAAATCTCTTACAGATTCATTTTAGGTTTTAAATAAATAAGGAAACAGAATTAAAAGATATAGCAATATCAATATTCTTTGCTTTTGATATATTGTCAATATAACGAGTATACAAGAAGAAAATCACATGATGTTAATATTATAAATTCTTTCTTATCATATGTCACGTTATACAATAAGCTATAAGTTTAAAATGAAAAAGATTGTTTAAGATACAATTATGATGACAAAAGAAATGGAAATTTTAACAAATCCTTAAAAAATTGTATTGTATAAAAAATTCTAGCTATGCTACTGGAATGTCAACTCGTTATTTCACTCTTTTCTTGATTTTTTCTCTTCTAGAATGTTTATTTCCTGTTATCTTTTATTCCGCTAACAATACTTTCATATGCTTTCTCATAATATTCAGCTTTTAAAGCTTTTGCAAGCCGAGCGATGTTTTATGTCAAAGAATTCTTTCATTAAAGTGCAAAGCAGCTACACAAAACAGTTACTGATCTTTTTGTTTTTCAAGAAGCAGATATCATTATAAAACAAATGCAATATGTTGAAATATCAATAAATAAAAAAAATAATAGCAGTATATCGCTAAGTCTGCTTGTGCTCGATAATTAATTAGATTCTTTAAAAAAGTAAATTCAGTAGATTTATATCAGTTAATATTTAAAAAATCATTTTGAGCGAGTTTTAGATATTGTTAAAAAGATTCAACGATCACACACACACACACACACACACACACACAATCGTAAGATAATCGCAGAATCATACTGCAGTAAAACTGACAACGTTGACTCAGAGCAAACACTGCGGTTATGACGCATTTCTTTCATTTCCCTACCGAGGATTCCAGATCAAGAAAAGCAAGGATCTACTGTGCCGCAATCCGTTTTACGTAATGTAACGCTAACATTGCAAAGTGATATTTAGTGCAGGCTGCGGATTTACCCGTCGAGAATTCTTGTTGGTTTGCACGCACGTCCCTCGGTATCCTGCTGACATCTTGAGCAAAGACAACCATATTTCCGGATTAGACATTTAGCGAGCACCCATAGCCTCAGATGAATCTAAATCTCCGGCTAATCCCCGCTAATACTCCCGTAACAGAGGCATATTTTCATTGGCCGGCCCACCCTCTTTGAACGCGAAGAGTTATGAAAACGATAACTTTAACTCGCCGGACCCTCACTTCCTCTCGCTTTTGCCCCTCTTTACTCCTCGGACGCGCGAGACCGGAGAAAACCTGAGAAAATGTGCCGCTGGAACTATTGAGCTCGCAATTTATCGAAGACCTCCAAGTAGGATGCCCTCAAAGCGATTTCTTATATTGCTCGTCTTTAATGCAGCGACGAATAGCAGCAGATTTTTATTAAGTCCACTCTAATATCCGATAAACCCTAGTAATTTCTCATTCTTCTACAAATATTGTGCGAAAGCTTTCAATAACGCTTAATTATATTTTCTATCCTGAGATACGTTTTATACTGCAGAATAATTGCAAATACTAAATACGATATTATTTTAGTAAAGACATATTTTAATGTGAAAGGTAAGATTTTTTATAATTCTTAATGCAATTAATGATTAATTATTTAAAAGTATGATATTAAAAAAGAAAGAAGAGAATAATAATATTATGATATTTATTTAAAAATATGCGGTATTTTAAACGATATAATATAAAGTATATTTACTCTGCTGGTCTGTTTGAGTTTATTTAACTTAAAATATAATTTATTTGTTTTACTAATAATTTTATTTATTTAAAAATTTGTTTTCCTGATATCTGATAACTTCGTCTATTAATGTAAAATCCTTTTTGTATAAAATTTGTTATTTTTTAGAGAGTTTTTTTATCATATTGATCCAAATATATAGTAAATTTGAACAGTAAAGTTAAAGTATCCGGCGTACTCTCGAGGATTGTGTTTCTTATTTCTTTCAAGCTTCATATGCAATATTTTTTCCTGAAATTGTAAAATATTTTCAGCCACGCCTCTCGATCCTTGCTATCGGGAGCAATCGTGAAATTGTTCTCCGCGATAGAAACATATTTCTCACGTTATTAGCTAATTGAGTATATCGCTCAAAACTTTTCGTCTCCCTAAGAACTTAAACGCGTCTGCAAGAGATCGCAATAGCTCTGCTGCAGTCATCAACGGGCAAACTGGAGCACGTCCGAAATTACGAAGTTTTCATCGTCCTGCCAACGCCAAGAAATCTTTCGACGTCAATATCCTCTAGAGAAGTTCTCTACCGGATAGGTCCGCGTCGCTTTTCCTAACCAAAGCGAGTGCTTCCAACGGCGAAAAGTTTATAAATACGAGAAGGTTCGATGCTCTGACGGAAAATCGACGAGCACGAAGACCGCTGATAAAGGCAGAAGAGTCGTCTGTCCGAGGAGAGTCTCGCTTGCCCGAATTAATCCTCTTCAAGCGCACGGCGCGACGCGCGGCTCATCATGCATGAATTATCGATCGTTGCCGCGCGCAACGGTCACGCTACATTTGCCTTCAAATAATAATTAATAATCAAGCGAAGCGGAGCGCGCCAGGGCCAATCTACAAAGGACCGGATTACACACGAGACGGAAAACAGCCATGCTGGTTGGTCGATCTGAGCATTGGAGGATGCATCAGCGCGACAATACGCCGTAACTTCGAGATCTGACTCTTACATACTGCAGTATAGCTAAATCGATAATTGTTTACTGGTATAAATGGAACGTGCATTTTTTTGGGTAAAGTAACTTGTGTGAATTAGTAACATCTATATACAATTAAAAAATATACATATTATGTTTATACGTATGATTTTTTGAAGATAAATATAATATTTATTATTATTCCTTCATTATAATCTAATTATAAATTGTTTACCTATTTCATCTTTTAACTGTAAGAGGTATATTTATTTTAAACATTTAAAAGGGAGTAAAAAGCGCCCTTCGCAAAAAAAATTAAGTAAAACAAAATGCCTTTATGCTGTTACACGTAGTAACAAGAGCAACTCCGTCGCTTTTACAAAGTGATCGTCGATTCGTAAACATTGAGTCGGCCGGCTTATGCATTTATACTGTACATTTCACAACGTGGTTTCTCCTGGGGGACTTACTCAGGTGCACACCTGTGACCAATTAGCGAGCGCGCATTAAAAGCCATTCAAACTGCATTCTGAAGCAAACGTCGTGTAATTGTGTCTCGCTATTCTTGGTCCGTCCAGACCGTGTATGCGTAATAATGCGGCATCTTGCCGAAATCAATAAGGCACAGAGATAAAACGTTCGTGGAATATAACGAAAGCAATCCGCTAGATTTTATCCTCGTGGTAAGTGCTCGTAATAAAATTTAAAACAGTCGCAATAATTCTCGAATTCTCGAAAATTTTTAATACACTAAACATATAATATCATTTTTCAAAGAATATATTTTAATCGATGTAATCAAACACATATCAAATAATCAGTTTTATATTTTGGAATTAATAACGATTTTTTAAGAATCAAAAGTAAAGAAATACAGATTATCTGTTTTTAAAAAATTATTTATTTTAAAAAATCCGTTAAAAATTCTACCGTTAAAAAATAACGAGCGTAATGAATTTTACGAAATATTCTCTGCAGTGCAAAACACAATTTTTTCCGGTTCTTTTTTCTAACTAAATGCTGTACTTTAATACGATCCTGAAAAGCGCCGATTAAATACCAGAGCAAGCGGGATATCAGGGGGCAAGTAGTTTTCCTCTGTGTCGTCAAATTCGCATACTATGGTGCTTTCGCAACCGGCTGGCTCGTATTACAGAACTCTCGCTTATACCCGGTGTGTTCGTCGTCGCGCAATACGTCATCGAGCCGTTCGCGAGCAATTTCACGGGGTGCTATATCTCACCAGGGGGAAAACTCCCCGGTACCTATATTGCGAAATCGGCGAGAGATCTGCCGCAAGCCTGAAAATATAACTCCGACTATTGCGAGAGGACCGTACTCTCAGTTCTCCGATGCTCCCATTTCTCGGATTCGCGTCCCAGATTTCGGTCGAAAACAACACAAGGAATCAAATTGTTTTCTTCTCATATACATTCGAGATACATCAACACCCACCGATTCGCATATAATTTTTTGCCGTAACTTTCTAACCATCAATATTAAGTTTCTCAGCAACTAAAACCTAAATTAAATATCTGTTAAAATTGTATTGACAGAAAGAAAGAGAGAGAGAG